TGTGTGTGTGTGTGTGTGTGTGTGTGTGTGTGTGTGTGTGTGTGTAGACATGTGCGTACCACAGTGCGCGTGTGGAGGTCAGAGGGCACTTGCAGGAGTCGGTTCTTTCCTTTCACCATGAGGGTCCCAGGGGTCAAACTCAGGTCACAGGCTTGGTGGCAGTACCTTTACCTGCTTAGCCATCGTTCCGGCCCTAAAAACAATTTTTTAAAAAAAGAGACGACAAAAGAAAGAAGTGATGTGGCCATACCAATATTAGAAAAAGTCAACTGCTAGATAAGAAGTATTAACAGTGATACAGAAGGTCACCTCATAGTGATAAAACGTTAAAAAGACATAAGAATAATATAGGCATATACACAGACATGCAGCAAGAGAATTTAAAAATACATGAAGCAAAAACTGACATACCTGATTAGAAAGTTAAGCTGAGACAGTTTCCCAGAAACTAGAGGAGGACCCAGGCAGGCACATGTGGGAGATTATCCTGACCGTGTTAACTGAGGTGAGCCCACTGTGGGTGGCACCATTCCCTGGTCAGAGAAGAGCCTGAGCAGGTGTGTGCAGTCACCCTGTCTACTTCCTGACTCTAGATCTGATGTCACCAGCTGCATCCAGCCCTTGCTGTTTTGACCGCCTCACACAAGGGACTGTATCCTGGAACTGTGGGCCAGATAAACCTTTTCTCCCTGCAGTTTTGCTTGTCAAGTATTTTTACTGAAGCAACAGAAAAAGAGACTAAGGCAGATTTTCCTGTTGCCTTGCTGGAGCCCAGGAGATCTCTGAGCCCGGGAGATCTCCGAGCCTGGAAACCTTTGTACATTGGTTTCTGGGGTTGGTCTTTACTTACTGAGGCATCTAAATTCAATACTGAGAGGTTGAAAAATAGCTCACAAATACTGCTCTGTGACAGTCCCAGGTTAAGTTCCCAGCACCTGCACAGTGGCTCACCCATTTGTAACTCCAGTCCTAAGGGAATTTGTCACCCTCTTCTGGCCTCCTTGGGCACCAGGTACACTTGCAGTCCCTATGCATATTCAAGTAAAACAGTCATACACATAAAAAAATAAAAATAAAAAAAACTAGGCTCAGTGGTGTAACCTTTAATCCCAGCACTTGGGAGGCAGACTTGGGTGGATCTCTGAGTTTGAGGTCACCTGGTCTACATATCGAATTCCGGGATGACGAGGGTTACATAGAGAGACCCTGTCTTAAAAACAACAACAAAAAAAACAAAAAACAAAAAACAAAAAAACTTTTTAAAAACCAAAAATGGTCCAGTACTGATATCCACAGGACTCCTCAGACATGTGTGCCTCGTCACTAATGGTGAGACTAACTTAGGTAAACCTTCGAAGAAAGCAAACCCCTTCCCTTCCTTTGTATTCTTTGCTTATCCAAACACCTAAATGGTTCTCATACCTGAGACTTAGTTCTCTAGCCAGAGGTTTCCCTCAGGAAGGTCACCTCTATAGGTTGCTAAGATGGGGAAATGCAGGGACAGACTGGTGTTAAAGGCTTTGGTAATGACCTCTGCAGGTAAACAACTTAATTGAAGAAGTCAGCATGGGTCCTCACATCTGTCACTCTCCCAGGACCCCCACATTGAAGGCTCCAAATTAGTCTCTTGGGAACATGCTAGTATTTGCTCCAGAGACAGACAAGTGTTCTCTGGGAGAAAACATGCTATCAGCAAACCCCAAGTACAGGGATGGCCAATCTGGAACCCTTCTA